GTGTGTGAGTGTGTGTGAGTGTGTGTGTGTGTGTGAGTGTGTGTGAGTGTGTGAGAGTGTGTGAGAGTGTGTGTGTGTGTGTGTGTGTGAGTGTGAGTGAGTGAGTGAGTTTGTGTGTGTGTGTGCGCCTCAGGGTGGCAAATACTAAGTGAAGGAAAATGAGTGGTAAACTGGACATTGGCAGGTTTTGCTGAATCAGACCTCAGCCTGTAAGACCACAAATACACAAAGAGGGAACAGCAGGTGGTCGGGGAGAGTGAAGTGTGTGCATGTGTGCGTGTGTGGAGAGTGTGTTCCACCACACCCCTGATCATCAGACAATAGAACACTCTCCCTTTCCTCCCACACGCTCTCAATACTGTAAACATTACAGTGTATGTCATTACAACAAGGGTACTGTATGTATTCACAGATAATTTACAGAATTGGAAAATGATAGACTGTTAACCAATAAAAAAACTATTTATTTAAAATACATTTATTTCATACTAAGTATACTTCAAATCCATTAACATAGTTATTGACATTACTTAAGACTTACTGATATAAAAATTATAAGTAAACTTTATTTGGAGTACTACTTGTGCACAATGCACATTTCTTATTATTAAACCTAAAATGTGTTTTAATGTCACTGTTGATGAGGATTGTATGATCTTTGAATATTATCGGTCTTTAAATGCAAGATATTTAAAGTGTACCTGAAGTATACTTGCAATAGTTCCACTTTAGCACAATCAAACATACTTCAGTATATCTTTAGTTGGACTTCAGCACAATTAAAGTGCTTCAAGTACAAAATAAGTTGTTAGTTGTAGCAGGCTTTAAGTATACCAGATTAGTATAGCCTACTAAATGTACAATTGCAGGGTGTTTTTATTAAGCACATAAATATGTAAATGTATTTGTAGTATACTAGGCAAAATAAATGTATTTCAAACTTTTAGTTTAAAGATTTCTTTTTTTTCACTAGGGTAGATATATCTACCTGAACAGAGTGTTAAAAATCATTTTAGTTACATAACATCAAATTGTAGTCAGGTTTATCAAATCATATTTAATTTGAATAAAACCAGTGTTACCAAATAAAATACTTTTTTTTAACTTGAACATTTTTTTTTCAATCTAAATGTTTTTTGGTTTTTTTTCTCACTCTAATGAATCCTTTGTGGAATGGAAAGTTCTATGGATGTTAAAGGCCCTTCAATGAACCATCAATGCCAGTAAAGACCCGTTATTTGGTTCTTGGCTAACAATCTAACCAGTATAGTGTGTGGTTTAGTGCACTACATGAGCGCTGTTAAAATGGAAACTTCCCTGAGCGGACTGGATTCTATTTTCCACCAGGAGATCTAATCAGCTTTTCCTGGGTTTGAGTTGACCAATTCTTTCATTCTTTTTTTCTTGTCTTTCTGTTTTTCTTGTTCCATAATGACTCGGTTTGAAACGCTCCTCCTTCTTTTCCAGCATTAGAATTGTTGTTTTGGTGTTTGCTGTAGGTTCTTCATTAGGGAACGCAGACATGTGATCTCATGAGCTCGAGTTTATATTGTATTCAGATGGTCACTTGGAACATGAAACGTCAAAGCAAAGTCTGCTGGTTTAATCATGGCCGGTTTCGTTTTTGCTACAAATGAAAACTCTATTTGTTGCTGAAATTACAAAAAAACGTGCTCAGAAAAGGACACCATAAAACTCCCAATAAACTTGAAAAAGCCAATATGTTTTCCATATACTGTACTGTATGTAAAATAACAATAGAAAGCCAAAAGCGACCCAACAGGCAATTTATAAGAGTGGAAATGTTTTTCCCGTTTTTAATCGTCTTTCTCATTCTTTTATTTATTATTCTTCCTATGATTCATGCATTGCTATGGTATTTAAAACTAAATATTTGAGAATTATTTATAATTATTCATAATTACTTCCCTAATAAAAAAGTAATACATTTATTTCATACTAAGTATACTTCAAATCTATTAACATATTTGTTGACATATAACTCAAGACTTACTGATATAAAAATTATAAGTAAACTTTATTTGGAGTATCACGTGTGCACAAAGCACATTTCTTCTTATTAAGCCTAAAATGTGTTTTAATGTCACTGTTGATGAGGATTGTACAATCTTTGAATAATATCAGCCTTTAAATGCAAGATATTGAAAGTGTACCTGAAGTATACTTGCAATAGTTCCACTTTAGCACAATCAAACATACTTCAGTATATCTTTAGTTGGATTTCAAAGTGCATTAAGTACAAAATTAGTTGTTCCAATTTAGCAGACTTTAAGTATACCAGATTAGTACACTAAATATACAATTGCAGAGCATTTTATTACAGTAAGTTTATTAATATGTAAATGTATTTGTAGTATACTTAGCATGAAATAAATGTATTTGAAATACATTTTAGTATATTTATTTATTTAGGGATTCTTTTTTTTTTTTTTAAGTAAATTGATATTTTTATCCTGCGTTTATTTGATCAAATATACAATAAAAACAGTAATATTGTGGAATATTATTACAGTTTTAAATAACTGTTTTCTATGTGAATATATTGTAAAATGTGATGTAAAGCTGAATTTTCAGCATCATTACTTCAGTCTTCAGTGTCACATGATCTTTCAGAAATCATTCTGATATGCTGATTTGCTGCTCAAGAAACATATATACACATATTTATTTATGTTATAATGAATATACAGTATGTTTCAATCGCACGCGCAGACACAGTTGCTCGTTGTCCTGTATAGTTGCGGTGTGCTGGTCTTTTGTCCCAGAGATAACCGCTGATGCCGGAGGAGATCTCTGGAGAGGGAGGAAGGGGAGGGATAATGTTACACTGCCGAGTGTTTGCTGTCCCGCGGGGGGGTTGTGTTATATGACCGCTGTAGCAGACAGGAGAGGCTGAGGAAAGTGCCGCTCGTCTTGCATCATCCTCGTGGATTTCGATTTAATGTTATATCGTTTTTCACCGCCTTAGAAGATCTTTGCCCTTCAGACCTGAGAAATCCCAGAGGTGTTGATTTTACACAAAAGCCCATTTTAACATGTTTTACACTCTCCAAATTGGAGAAATTCAGGGCCCTATGAAATCCATTAAATTTTTTCCCATATTCCGTTTTTTTTTTTTTTTTCAGTTGTTTCCATTTAAATTTTTCTGGATTCAGGTTTTTATGTTATTTATTTATTTATTTTTAATTTTTCTAGACTCTGTTGATTAAATTATATTCAAATGTAATTAATTGAAATCATGAAACTTACAATATTAAACTGTGATTTATTAAACAATTAGCCTAACAAAAATAACATTTTAAGGCCCTAGGAAATGTTTTATTTTTTTCTCAAATTCAAACTCTGTTTTCCATTAATTTTTGCAGTTCCATTTTAATGGTTTCATTAAATATTAATAATCAAAAGCATCTCTAAACAATTGATTATATAAAAAAGGATAATAATTTATTATTTTTATATTTATGTCTTTTTTTTCCCCAGAAGTACCGTGTTGTGTATTTACATTTTTCTGCTAAATAAATTCTGGTACATAATTTTTCTGGTAAATATTCCTTTAAAAATAATGTTTTAATAATTTTATTAATAGTAGTAGTACTATCATTACTATCATAGGGCCCTAGAAATTGCCCTGAGTGGTGGCAGGAATCCAAAAGTGTAAAACTGGGAAACTATACTCAAACGAAAGGGCTTTTGACTGAGCTTTAACAGATGAGTGTCTGCGTTCCTTGTCAGCAGCGATTAGAGTTTGTTTAATGGTGATGGGGGCTGAACTCTACAGCCTGCTTTTCCTTTCATGGTTTGGCCTTCAGCTGTCATTTCTCAGGTTTAAGAGCGGAAGGATCCTGCCAGAGTGGAACATATCTGTGCCACCTCTCCATAACTGCAGGAAAAAATGAAGACAAAGAGCAAAGAGTACTGAGTTTTTCAGGCCTTAGATAAAGGTCTGACAGTGTTTTCTTATTCGTGTTTGTCAAATGAATTCATCTTGAGGAATTGAACTTGAGCTGACGTCATTTAGCACATATCGACATGTGATGTGTTGTTTAGTGATTTTATCTGATGACGATTCTTCAAAAATGTCCTCTTTTGTGTTCTTTGGATCTGAAACGAGATCCTCTGAAGATCTTTCGCTGTTGTTTTTGCAGTTGATGGGCTCGCTGGTTCTGGCTGTGGGCCTCTGGCTCAGACTTGATACAAATACTGTGTCTCTTCTAGGAGAAGGCGGACCTGATACCTTCTTTATCGGTAAGTAATTAATTGATAATATTTCATAATATTTCTCCAAGGCCTTACAGACAGTATGTCTAATTTTGGCAGTGTTTCAGAGGGCAGCATCCAGTTCTCCAAAAGTACTGATTTACTTCTGTCTCTTGTCTTATATCTATTTATATATAGGGGTGTGATATATATACAAATCACACCCTATATATATATATATTTTTTTTAATTAAAACAAATATTTTGTGGTTTCACACTGTATCTCTTAAAACCGAAATAAAGGGACGACAGACAGGAAACCATGGAATATTGTAGATTATAGTGATTTTCTCTCTTATCTGTTATATTTTCTGTTATGTAGCTTATTTATTATTATTAACTTTTCACTCAAATTGTTATGCTGATAATATATTTTTAATAAAAAAGCTATGTTAAAAATGTTACAAAAACATGTACAAAATGAATGAAATTATAGTATTTAAATCATATTTATAATTAATATAAAACCATATATTATATTTAATATATTTAATCAATGAGTTTTAAAATTATATACAATTATATAAAAATAAATAGGATATTTTTATGGATTCTGCAGTTCTGAAAAATATGAATTAAATTAAAATAATAATAATTAAAAAAAAGAATACACGCATTTAATTTAGTGCTTTCAGAGTTTTGGACCCCACTGTAGCCCTTAAAACAGAACTAAAGCAGCGTCAGACAGACCTAGTGTTTATTGGTACTGGATGGAAACATCTGAGGCCACTCAGGGTGGCACAGTTTCCACGGCCTTCTGCCCAGCCCTCGTGAGACACACCGAGTTCTTGTACATTTCAGAGGCTGGTGTTTCTGAAAACAGGAAGTGACATTTCAAGTTGTGCATACATGGAGGAAACCACAAGGCTTCAGGTTTGCTGTAGCAACAGTTCAACCTGGGAGGAGAGAGAGATACAGAAGATCATATCTGGATGCAGAGGAGAACAGAACTTCACGGTGTCAGGAAATATTCGTATCCTCAGACAGCCTCTTCAAGCTTGGATTTTAGGCGCTGACATCTCCCTCATCTGTGGGTTTTAGCACTTAAAGCTGTGAAGAGAAGCCAGTGTGAACGAGCATGACTCAAAGCCTCAGCAAGATCCCAGTGACAAAGTCACACAGTCGTTTCTCATCAGCCCAGATGAAGAAGACTTGTCATCGTCCTCATTTCAGCCTGCAAACCACAGTCACATTTGCATCATACACAGTCATGTTTTCCATAGTTAGATACAAATACAACCCACATACATTTATATTTATAGACTTACTGAAACTAGTCCGTTTCTGTTTCTGTCATTATGTATTCACCCTTATAGTAGCATAGTTCCACTATATATTTATATAATAATAAATGTACATCTAA